AGCCCCTATCCCTAATGCTCCTGGCCCTCTTAAATTCGCCGAGCGCGATCCACTGCTCGCAAAGTTCCTGGTCGCAAACGTCCGACAAAAACACATGTCTGCTTTGATGTAATGTATCGTAGATCCTCCGCGGAGGGTCCAGCCAATTTGCGAGTACGGTCCCGCTTATGATTAAGAAACCTCTCCCCGAAAAGCTGGCCCAGCGTTTCTCAACCAACTTGCCGGAAAACTGGCTCAGTTTCTTAGAGGGATTGGTAGTCTTGGATCCTAGAAATGAGCAGTTTACTCCCCTGGCTCCAAAAGCTGGCCCAGCGCTTTTCCTTAAGACACTTCTGAGACGCTGGCCCAGCTTGCTTAATTGATATTTTTCTTCATCATATGTTTGACTGTAGTGTCTGCCCGCACGAAATGGGTACTGAAAGAATGGGTACAATGCCCAACAGCAGTTCCTGCTCATTCTGAGCAGGACTCGCTGTCCACGCCGCCGCGGCCTGTGTCCATTCGAGGCAGGAGGCCGCCTGCCCAACAGCGGCCGCTGCTGGTTTGGGACAACACTTGTTGCTGGGCATTGTACCCATTCTCTCCGTACCCATTTCGGGCGACCAAATACTGGCACGCGCTCGTCTACAAATCCGGTCGCTTCCCCGAGGGGGGGGGGTCCTCTGCTGACTGCTCACGCCGGACGCCCCCCCCCCGCCACGTCACGTGCGGGCACGGCGGCTGCTCCCGCGCGAACGGACTAGATTGCCAGGAGGGAAAGCACACACAGAGAGACACAAGGAATCGCCGCTTCCCCAGAGAAGATGGGGAACTATGGGAAGTGGGGGGGAAGAGAAGAACCCAGAAAAAAACATGGGAACAGATGGGGAATCCTCTTACTTGTGTCTATGTGTTTGTGTGTGTCCCGGGGGCCCTTCATAGTGGCAGCAGGCCCGCCGCCGTTTGGCTGGCCGCCGACGGGGGCGCTCGAGAACGCCTCTCGAGCGCCCAGGAGTGCGCCAGCGAGAGCGCCCAGGCTGAGCGCCTCGAAGCGCCTGCCAGTGCGCACGGGGGGCGCCTGCGAGCGAGGCGAAGCCTGGGCCGATTCTGGGAGTCCTCCCAGAGTTTCGACTTTCGGAATGCAGCAGGGTTCGGAAGGCAATGCTCGACAGAAAGTCCAGAAGTACTCCAGCCCTATTCGCCGCTACCTAAATTGTTTCATGAGAGGCCCGGTTGGCGTGCTTGCGATATTTTCCCCCCCGCCGCCAAATCTGGGATGCGTCAATCACACTTTGTTCGGATCGTGTCCGCCGCACGCTTTCATGCCCCTCCTTGAAAGTACTGGGGAAGGGCTTCCCTTTGACTCGATTGCGACCTGGGTAGCTTCACCTCGGGCTGGCGATGATGAAGAAGCACAGGTGGCCGCAGGGCAAGGAGGGAGAGTTTCGAATGGAAGTATCTCGCAGGACCATGCCCTGGACGATCACCCCAGGACTCCCTGACGAGAGGGTCGGCGGAGTTTACTTTTTGAGAAAGTGGCCCAGACCGGACGCATCGATACCAATCTTATCACGGCTTAGACATGTCATTGAAGGGGGAGAAAAGGGATTGGAACATAGAGCTTAGTAAGCCACGTGTTTTCCACAGGTTTGGATGATCACGCGGACGGAAGGCGGTGTCTTTCCAAAAGTGAAGGTCTGTCTCGGCACGTCTGAATGTGTTGTATGACGCTACATGTGGGAGTTGTTGACCTCGGACGATTGGGCTATCGCGTGAACGGCAGGCTTAAGGAGCGTATCGGGAGGGCGCTTCCTGGAGTGAGAGGTAATGATTCCAGGGCGGCAGGAGGATGGGTCGTGAGACAGTGAGGCGTATTGCAGCAGTGTTGACGCGTCCTGGTTTTACTGATCACCCCTTCCGTCTCCTCCTCCCTCGCCTGCTGCCCCCTCGCCAGGTCCACATGGGACGGAAAGTGGGGAGGAAAACGCTGGAATAGTGAAATGGCTGATGGCCATGCGCGCAAAGAGGAACGAGGGATAGTGGGAACGGGGAGGAGGCCGGGGGGGTGAGGGGGGAGCAGGACGGGGGGGAGAGGAGGGCAGGGGGGGGGGGGGGGGCAAGATGAGGGCAAGAGGGCAAACTGAGCACGGAGTCGGGGAAGGGAGGGAGGACTGCGGGAGTGGGGGGATAGGGGAGGCAGGGGGGGGGAACGGGGAGGGACGAGGCAAGAGGGGAGGGGAAGGGGAAGAAGGGGGAAGAGAAACGGCACGAGGACGGGGGAGGGAGGGGGAGGGAGAGGAGGGGGAGCTATAGAGGCGGAGGGCAGAGGGGAGGGAATAGAGAGAGGGAGGGGGTAAGGAGGAGATGACGAGGCGGAGGAGAGAAGGAAGCCGAGGCGGGGCACGAGGGGCAAGGGGAGACACGGCGTGGCTAGTGTGCGCACATGCCTCTCCTCCAGCTGTTGCTGCTGCTGCTGCTGCTCCTCCTCCTCCTCCTCCTCCTCCTCCGCCTCCTCCTCCTCCCTCCCTCCTCCTCCTCCTCCTTCCTCCTCCTCTCTCCTCCTCCTCTCCTCCTCCTCCCTCCTCCTCCTCCTCCTCCTCCTCCTCCTCCTCCCCCTCTCTATGCTCCTCCTCTTCCTGGTCGCCGGCCTCCTTCTCCTCGTCATTTCCGCCCCTCTCCTCGTCGTCGTCCTCCTCCTCCTCCTCCTCATCCTGCTTATCTTCCCCTCCTCAATATCCTTCTCTTCGTCCTCGTTATCCTCTCAATCTCTCTCTCTCTCTCTCTTTCTTCCTCTTTCTCTTCCTCTATCATTGTGCTAATCCTTGATCTCTCCTCCTCGTCCTCCTCATCTTCCCTCTTCCTTATCAATAACTCGTCCCTGTCGCCTTCCCCCCAGACGTGTTGGTAGGGCGGCCAGTTTGAGACGTCCTCACCAGTGTGATCCTGCAGCTTGACATGCGCAATAGTTTCACGGGTAGAGGGCAGATGGGTTTCAAAATGTGGCTCTCGCGTCAGACCTGCGCACAAATTTCCTTTACAGTCTGCAGCAGCTTCAAGGACGGAGGACAGGTCGTTGTCAAATTGCTTGTTTTTGCTTTAGCGCGCACTCGTCTTAAACATCAGCAAGACATGTGTTCAGGGATGGGGGGCGGTTCCTCCTCAGACTGTGTCTCCCGCCGTAGCGCCGCGCACATTCGTGTCGAACGCGTGCAGCAGCCTGAGGGATAGAGGGCGGCTCATGTTCGAACTGTGGCTCTCGCTTCTGCGCCGCGTAGATCGGTGTCAACTGTCTGCAGCAGCTTCGAGGACTCGCAGGAGTGAACACCCAGGACTGGCGTTCTGGCGCGACTCGGGGGCGTCAGGACGCAGGAGTCACGCAGTGTTTTGCGGGTGGTGCTATCCCAGGGCTGACGTTCTAGCACGGCTAGGGGTGGTCAGGGTGCAACAGTCACGTTGATTCGTGGCGCTGAAGCTTCATGTGATTGGTGCGTTTGGAGATTCTCAGACGATTGTATTCTAATGGGCAGCTTCCCGCAATGAACGTACATTCTTGTAGGGACCTGTGAAGTGAGAAATTGGATGGAGGGTGTACTGCGAATTTGTTGATGCTTCTTGGGCTTGCAGTGGTCCTCTTCCTCTTTCTTCTCCGTCCTCCCCCCACTCCTGATATTCTAGACGCTTCGCGCAATCCCACCAGCCCATCCAAAAACGGTGCCCAGGCGAGTTGCCCTGATCAGGCATGTGGAAGAGCATGCAGTGGAATAAAGGGTGCCTCTGGGCAGGCTCTTGTGGCCTCTTGGGGGCCGCTTCTCTTTGGGTCGCCTTGGAGGCCTCTTTGAATCGCTTGGACGTCTCTTTGGGCCCTCTTGGGGCTCTCCTGGGTGCCTTGGAGGCCTTCTTGGGCTTGGGAACATCTCAGAGGATATAGATAAACGAGAGGATGTCCTGAATTCGCCTCGCCCCTCTGGAGCTCCCAAAGTTGCTTCTTGGGGCCCTCTTGGGGCGTTCTTTGGCGCTCTTAGGGCCGTCTTGAGGTCGTCTTGAGGTCGTCTTGGGTCTCTCTTTAGGACCTCTTGAGCTATCTTGGAGCCAGTTTGCAGCTTCGGGGGCCCACCGGAAGCGAAACCGCGAGAGGGCTATCATCGTTGATGTCTTATTTTCTTGCATGAATTTGGCCTCTTGTGGGCCTCCTTGGGTGTTTCCGTGGCTACCTGGAACTATCTTGGGGCCATCATGGGATCTTGGATGCCACCGTTGGCCAAGTTGGACCACACTCCGCACCTTGGAGGCCATCTTCAAGAGGCTGGGACCACCCAGGGGCCCTCTTGGGCCAAACGCCTCCAGAGGATGCCACCGAAAAGCCAATACCTTTCAAACCACACGTGTTGATTCAACGTTCTCGTTGATCAGGGAGGGAGGGGTCCAAGTAGGGTCCCCCCTCTGGAGCAGCCAGAGTCGCCTCTCGGGGTCCTTTGGGGGCGCTTTTGGAGCGCTGTTGGGTGGTCTCGGGGCCGTCTGGCGGCCACCTTTGTCCCGTCTTGGGGCCCTCTCGGGCCCTCTTGGAACCGTCCTGAGGCCTCGGAAAGCCGTCGGAAGCGCAGGGGCGAGAGGATCAGAACGATTGACTGCCCAGCGGTTTTTGTTGCAGGATGCTGGCCTCTTGGGGGCGTTCTGGGGAGGCCCCTGGCCCACTTGGGCCCGTCTTGAGGAAGTCTTGGGATATCTCGGGAAATTTGAGAAGCCATCTTGAGCGATCGTGGCGCGAACTTGGGCCATCTTGGAGGTCATCTTGGGCTCTCGACAGCCCTCGGGGAGCCATCTTGGGCCGTCTTTGACGCTCCAACGACCCGCCGCCCCCGCCGTCCAGGTCCAGGGGAAGGGGGTTAGGGGGGAGGGGTAAAAAAGCCCTCCCCGAAGGGCAAGCATCGGGGTCGGACGTGGAAGCGCTCCAGACCACTCACGCCCTGAAGGGCTGGTGGGATGTGGTCTCCTCCTCCTGCTGCCCCCCCCCCCGGTGCCAGGATTGCTCCGGCGGGAGCTGTCCTGAGGGAGCCAGTGCGCACAGGCACGCCAGAGCCGCGCCCAGCAGTCCAGCACCGCGGTCGGCCGGCCTTCTTGGGGGGGCCGGACGGGCCAGGACGAGGAGAGCTCCGTTCCGGAGCGTTCTGGAACGGAACGCTCCGAGAAGGCCGCGGCGCCCGACACATCCTCCAGAGCCGCTGGATCTCAGAGATTCTCGCTTTATCCTCGTCCTGGTTTCGTCTTGAAGAAAACAATGGGCACCAGGAAAGTACCGAAACTTGAGGGTTTTCACCCGTTGGGCCCTTGGAGGCGATGCTCGCTCGACACCTCGCTAGCATGTCGCGCAGACATTGTTTCGATACTTGTCTGGGCGCTCGAAATGTTGTCTGGGAGGTGGTCCTGGAGTAGGATGAGGTCCCCCGGGGGTGGTCCTGGCTTCGTCACAGGAGAAGAAGGAGGAGGAGGAGGAGAAAGCGGAGGAGGAAGCGGAGGAGGAAGCGGAGGAGGAGAAGGAGGAGGAAGAGGAGGAGGAGGAGGGAGGAGGAGGAGGGGAAGGAGGAGGAAGAGGAGGAGCAGGAGGAGGAGAAGGAGAAGACGAAGGAGGCAGAAGGGGAGTAGTAGGAGGAGGAGGAGGAGGAGGAGGAGGAGGAGGAGGAGGAGAAGGAGTAGGAGGTGAAGGAGGAGGAGGAGGAGGAGGAGGAGGAGGAGACTGAGGAGGCATAAGGGGCGGAGGAGGAGGAGGAGGAGGAGACAGAGCAGACAGAGGAGGCAGAGGAGGAGATGGTGGAGGAGGAGGACGAGCAAAAGAGCGTTATCGCGTGGCGCGCCGCCGTGGGCAGCCCAGCAGCGTGCGCACCGTGGGAGACGCGCCGCGCCTTCGGGCCAAAAACTCCAGGCCGCCCAGACCGGCTCGGAGTCAGAGGAGGAACAGGTATCCATGCTGCTACACTTCCCTAGTTTTCCCCTTTTGGGGCCTCTCGGGGGCCCTCGCCGCAACCGCTGGATTTGCCTTGAAATCCTGGTCAGAACGCACCCCGGGAGAGGTCCGGGGAGTAGGGGTATCGGTACCTTTTGGTCTCCCCACGGAGTGGATTGGTCGGAGAATCGCGCCGCATCGCCGATGCATCGGCGATGCATCGGCGCAGCGGCCTAACGTGGGGCCAGAATTTCTCCACGCCGATCTCGCCGACGCATCGGCCATGCGGCGCGATCCTTCGACCCCATCTGCCCGGACCCCATCCAGGAGGCCTCTATCAGATGACGCGTAAAGGCGGGGCGGTATCTGTGGGGGGCTCCAAGAGGGGGGTGTCCAAGAGGGGGGCGCAGCGGCCCTCTCGGGCCGAGGGCACCACAAAAAAAAACTTGGGCAGCGGCTGCAGGGCCACCTCCTGGGCCCGTGCGCGGGAGAGCCTGCGCCGACCGCGGGTCCAGCGGCCGCGTGGGAGCGCGGGTTCGAGGCCACGGTGGGGCCCATCCTTTCGCCGTCGGCGATCTGAGCAGCGAGGCACCGGGGCGCCCCGAGGCGCCCGCGGTGTGAGGTGCTCCTGGCCTCTCATCCGTCCCCCTCTCCCAGAAGAGCCAGACGACCACGTCGAGCCTGAGCCTTCGAGGTCCGCGTGTTTTTTTTTTAGGCGCGGGCCATGCCCCCCCCGCCACACACACAGACGCACGCACGTACGCACGCACGCACGCACGCACACATACACACCTACACACACTTACAGTTACACTTTCACAGATACACGCACACGCACACGCACACGCACACGCACACGCACACGCACACGCACACACGCACACGCACACGCACACGCACACGCACACGCACACGCACACGCACACGCACACGCACACGCACACGCACGCACACGCACACGCACACGCACACGCACGCACACGCACACGCACACGCACACGCACACGCACACGCACACGCACACGCACACGCACACGCACACGCACACGCACACGCACACGCACACGCACACGCACACGCACACGCACACGCACACGCACACGCACACACACGCGCGCACGCGCGCACGCGCGCACGCGCACACGCGCACACGCGCACACACGCACACACTCACACACGCAGCTTGCACACATACAAACACACATACAAACTCAAACATACACAACTACACAAACACACACAAATCCACAAACACACGAACACGCAACGGCACAAACACACACAAACACACAGAACACACACACACAAGCACACAAGTACACTAATACGCAGCCACACAACCACACAAACACACAAACACGCATAAACATGCAATCACACATAGACACACACTTCTTGGCGGTCGCGGCCTCGCGCGCAGTGTCGAGGCGGAGTATACGCACGCACACACACAAACGCACACATACACACACACGCACACACACACACGCGCACTTACACACGCACTTACACACAAAATCACGCACATACACCCACACATACACACAACACACGCACACACACACACACACTTTCTGTCACGGCTAGTTGGGCTAACGCTTGCGAGTTCAAGGGCGGGGCACGCCTAGATCCATTGCCACCAAGCCTTCGCCGCTGTGTGGTCAGGACGTGTCCCGAAGGGTGCGGGGAAAAGGGGGCCCCAGCCAATGCACGTGGGAGACGACTACATGGAGCCGGGTGCGGACGCTCCGCAAGAATACACACGCACACATTCACATACACACACATTTACCCACCCACACACACACATACCTACACACACACACACCTACCGTGGCGCGCGAAGCGCCTGGGAGGCGCCGCGGGGGTGTGCGGAGGGCTGTCCCATCGACAGCCCAACCATCTCGTACGGACCTCCGAAAGTTCATGCTGCTGTAGTTGTCTGGTCTTCTGCTCCCCCTCGCCGTCGAACTTGAATGGAGAGGCCTCGGGGATCCGTGGTCGCCGATGCTCCGCCTCGCCTTCGAATCTGAAGTGCGAGGCTTAGGGAATCCGTTGTTGCCGATGCTCCCCCTCGCCTTCGAATCTGGAGTGCGAGGCTAAGGGAATCCACTGTCGCCGATGCTCCTCCTCGCCTTCGAATCTGGAGTGCGAGGCTAAGGGAATCCATGGTTGCCGATGCTGCCTTTTGGGGGCGCATGCTCCAGCCAATCAGTGAGGATTGAATGGAGGGGAAGGAGGACGAGGACCAGAGGAGACTCATCACGCCTCACTGACGCTGCAATGTGCACTTGCGCGCTGGGTCCCCTCCTCATCTGTCAAAGCAGGTGCTTCCTTTTCGTTGCGCCGAGCACCCGCTAGGACTGTCAAGAGATCCTGGGAGTACATGGCTGGAGCCCGTAACTATGGCTTCTGAAACGCGCGTCAACGATCATACAAACTTTGATCGCGGAGCGCCACACATAACAACGAGCATGAGATGGACGCGCCCTTATCCAATGCAGCTGGCAGCGTGAAGGTTTTTCCTGAGTAGCGTTTCGCCGGAAGGTTTCTTAAACGGAGGGCAGGAAAGACCACCGAAGAGTCCCGCAGAGGGGCACGGAAGACCGAGGCTGTCTGGTTTGGCGGCCGCTTCGCCCGGAATCACATCTTAGTCAAGGCTTCGGGGCTCGAGAGACGAGGGTCAGTGCAAACGGGGGTCAGCCAGGGCACGGGTTCCTGCAGGATCCTGCGAAGACCCCCTCTGGCTGACCCGGGTTAGCGAGCCGCTCGTGGCCGTGAGGCGGCCGCACATTGGCTGACCTGGGTGTGCGAAACCCTGCGTTGCAGTTTTGTTTTCCTGCATTGCAGTTTTCTGATCTCCTGCTGATCCGGGTCTGATTGACCCGGGTTGGCAGGTCCCCGAAGACTCGGCTCTCGCCTCAGTTGCAACCGCATTTTTGGTCCGGACGGTCGCGATCTTTTCTAACAGAAGCTCACTAGCGTGCACAGAAGAGTCCCACGGAGCGGGCTGGGAGCCCGAGGCTGTTTGGTCTTGCAGCCTGGACCTGGGGGGGGGGGGGTCGCGAGGTGCCAGGGCGTCCAAAAAGGCCCCGGCGAGGAAGCCACAATCATTGTTTTTACTAAGGTTTTGGCCCCATTTTGGCCTCTTGGGGGGGGGGGCCTAATTGTGACCCCCCCTCTTGTTTGATCGATCTCCTCCAAGATGGCCCCAAGAAGCGCCCGTTTCTTATTTGAGACTTTCTCAGAATGCCCTGGGCTTCCTGGTTTTCGATGGGTTCCCAGTAGAAGCCTGTTGACGTTCGATTGAACACCTTGGACTTTGAAAAACCGCGGACTTCAGGATTGGGTTTCTTGCGGAGGTTTCTTGTGGCCGAGCCTCAGTGCTGGCTACAGTCCAGACGGTCACGATCCCGGATACAAGCAAGAGCGCACCGAGGGGCACCTCGCCGTGCTCTCGCCCCTGTCCCCATGTGTTTCCCTTGACCTGCCTCTTCACCTCTATGGTCACCGAGGGCTTTCTCTGCCTGGGGGAGGGGAGCACGTGCGAAGCACAAGGGGAACATCTGCACACCCAGATGTTGTGTATCTCCAGATTTGGATCATGTGCGCACGTATGGCTATTTCCATATGGCTATACATACATACATACATACATACATACATACATACATACATACATACATACATACATACATACATACATACATACATACATACATACACACATATAAATGTACATATATACATATATATATGTATAGGGATAGGCCGATATATACATATATATATTTATATAGCCAACACACTCTCTATATACGTACATCTGTTTGTGTACACATGAATATATACAACCTATAATTACAAACACATATATATACATATATATACATATATATATATATGTATATATTGTGTGTACGTGCGTACGCGCGCCCCTCCAGTATCATACATGTTGCCTTGCTTTCGATCTTGTTTCCCACTTCTTTCTTCCTCCATCATCCCCGCTATCTGCTTCCCACTGTCCGTCCTCCTCCTCCTTCCTCTCTCCTCTCTCCTCCCTCTCTCCTCCCTCCCTCCTCCCTCATCCCTCTCTCTCACCCTCCCTCCCCTCCCTTTGTCATTCGGAGGGTATGGGGGGGGCATGTGTGGTTCTTACGGTTGCCATATGGACGGCGTTCCAGAAAGGGCCTTGCCTCCCAGGATTGAAAGGGTTTGTCATCTCGTTCTCGCGGCAGGGTGGCGGGAGTCGGCGGAAGTAAAGCTAGGCCGCCTCTGCCCCTTAATCCGCTATGTGGATGGCGTTTTGTTTCACATGTGTCATTTATGGCGTGGCTTCGTGGTCTCGTCCTGGGACGGGGGGCCGTAATGGGAACGAGAGGACCGAAACACATGAAACACATGAAGCTATGGAAAACGCCGCCGTTCACAAGATCAAGTCTGACAAACACTTCAGCCCCCCAAGGGGGCAGGAGGAACAATAGGAGCACACGAGTTGCAAACCACCAGAAGAAGAGGAGGGCAATGCGAGAGGGAGAGAGAGAACATCAATAGAAAGAGAGAGAGAGGGAGAGAGAGAGAGAGAGAGAGAAAGAGACAGAGCGAAAGACACATATAATGAGAGAGAGTGTACTTCGGATCGGGGGGGGGCACGTGTTTCCTATTGTTCGTCCTGCCCCCGGGAGGATGACAGTCCATCACTGTGTTGTTCAAGAACAGGGCAGATCTTTTCAACCGTTGACAGTTTTGCATGTGTGCAAGGGCGCTGCGGGAACGAAAGGGCCGAAACACAACAGGACACGTGGAAACTGTGAAACAACATGCTTTGCACAGGAACACACATGAATTAAGCTTCAGCCTCCTGTAGGGCGCACCGTAGCGAACAACACATTACAAACCGCCAGAAGAGGAGGATAACAAACCAGGGATCTGACGAGTAATACACCGCATGCGTAGAGAAGAAAAAGAAGCACCATACTAGTAATACAATTATTACGGGGACTCTGAAGAGGCATACTTAGCAACCTGTGTGATAGTGGGGCGCGGCCGCATGCACTTTTCTATACATATACACCTGTAAAAAGCAGATGCACCGATAAAAGACAGGACTCGCTTCGCTTCGCCTCACTTCTTGGTCCTGCATCCAGACACTGTTGGAGACTACCGAGGGACTCACCAGAGCGGAACGATTCACACGCTCCGTGGCCCCATCGGGAGATCCGCCGAAGGCCCAAGAGGCTGCGCTCGCATGCGCCCGCCGCACCCATTTCGGCACAACTCCACACGTTTCTTGGCTCCATCGAGAGCTCCACCGGCGGCCCCAGTGGCTGCGTTCGAATGTGCCCGCCGCACCCATACCGGTACACCCTTCACACGTTCCGTGGCCCCATAGGGAGCTCCACCGAAGGCCCCAGCGATTGCGTTTGCATGCTTCCGCCGCGCCCATATTGGCACACCCCTCGCACTCCTTGTGGCCATTTTCGGGCACTCCATTGAAGGCCCCAGTGGCTGCGTTCGCATGCGCCACACCATTTCCAGCACACCCCTCACACGTTTCGTGGCCCCATGGGGAGCTCTTCCGAAGGCCCCAGTGTCTGTGCTCGCATGCGCCAGCTGGACCC